TAAAGATATTTTCCAACCTAAATGATTTGATTCTATTCTATTGTATATATACGTGAAGACAGATCTTCCATATTCAGTATTGAAAATTCAATACTTTCATGAGAAGTTTCTTTCAATGTCTTAACCAAAGAATCCATACAGGATATTCTTACCCTTTCTCAACACTTGCATGCACTGAAGAAACAATGCCTTCTAGGATTCCAAGCGGATCTTTCACCGGTGTAGATGAGCCATCATTTTCACTATTACGAGAAAGACATAAAATTATGATTAAAATGGTCCCTAATATAGCATCCAATTCTACCCACCTGTTAGCTTTGCTATAATTTTCACATATTTATTGCTAGTACCTTTATTTTTACATCAAAGTAATGTGGGGAGCAACAAGAAAATAGTAGGAAAGAGAAATACTAAAATACCTGTGAAATTTGAAAGGAAATTTGTTAAAATTTAGCACTTCTAACAGATTAAGTCAGCAAAACATACACATGCAATCTCATTACCTTGAAGATCTCACCAGTATCAACTAAACATATTAAAGGTTATATGCAAATATCACCATCTTTTCAAATATCATCTTGCAGTTTCACTATTAGTTTACACCAACTTGCCTGCAGCCTCAGTCAACAGAATCCTATCTGCTGATTCAGCATATTTCTCGTCCCCCCGCAACCTCTGGGCTTCACCTTCAGTTGGATTAACCAGGTTCATGATTAACAGACCCAACAAACTTTAGAAGTAGGGAATATGGGGTCAAGAGCAGCACGTGGGAAAGGGGAAGGTGAAGCCACCCCTGAAACAGCATCCACGATGGAAATGGTAGAGTGGAAAAAGGAGAATCATGCTGGACATCAGACATTGCAGTGACAGTACAGTGTCCTTCTGCAGGTCAAAAGTAGTAAATATTGGGAAAAAAACCAGCAAACCTCTCTGGCAGGAAAAACAGCTTTGGTCATAATGCAATTAAAGCAGCATTGTTTATAAGATTTTCAGCAAAATAAAGCTAGGAAGTGATCTGGTGCTGAAAGAGGGAGAAGAGATTTTGCACTGGTATTTCAATAAAGCACACAGTGTCTTTTCATGGAAACCACAGCAGAGGAAATGATGCCTGGGATGAACTAGAAAAACAAGAGTTTTGCCTATCTCAAGAGTTTATCAATGCTGTATTAGAGAAAAAAGAAGAAAGGCAAATAGTTCCAAAGTTAGCTTATCTCAAAAAACCCAGAGATAAAGTGCATTTTCTCCACAGTTCATCAGCATATCAAAGCTATTCTGCTACTAAATGTCAGCCTCTTCCTACATGATCTCTTAAGAATGAATCCATGTGCTGCCTACTCTGACTGTTCTGTCTAAAGACAAAATACACTATATAGCTGAGAGTGTGTAAAAATAACTGCAATATTTCACTTTTTTTGGTCAAGTTAATGATAGTTTATAATTTTGTCATTTATTAATTCAATAAGACAAATATATTGCCTAAGAAATTGTTATACTATATGGAAGAGAGATCTGAACCTTTATAACCTTGAAAGATGTGAATGCAGGAAGACATTAAACTTCTCTACTTTTATTCATATCTTACAAAGAGACCAGCATTTCACTGAACAACACTAGATTTAAAACAAATATGTGACTCCATTCAGAACAAATGTAAGGTAATTTGTTACATGGTGAAATCTTAGTATATTTACTTTATATTCCTGTCCTGCACTCTTAGTTTTGAAGTGGGAGGAGAAAGCTCATAACAGCAATCATATTCTCAAAAAATACTGTCACAAATGAATATGATAGAAACACCATTTTTAATACCAATACGAACATATGGCAGCTAAATAGATTTTAAAATACAAAGTTTAAATCTCGATGTTTTCCTAAACGTCTTTAGAATATTTAGAAACAATAAATTTATAATTTATAGTACAGAAATAGCCAGGATTTTCGACTTCCAAAGAGATGTACTGTGTGTCCAAAAGATAAAATCTATTTTCACACACACAAAAAAAAAAAGAAAAAAGGACACACAACAGAAGTGAATGTTCTGTTAAGGGGAAAAAAACAAAAAAAAAAAAACCAAAGCAACAAAAACCCCAAAGATTATATTTAGATTATGCCAGTATCATAAAAGTGTGGAAAAAGTAAAAAGAACAGTAGTATTAAAGTAGTCATTTCATGTAAACAGCTACCTGCATTAGGACATGGTCTTAAATTTGTTTTAAATAAAAAAAAAAATTAAGAAAATATAGCATATGTTCCCAGACTGAAGACAGATCCAAGTGACTTCATTAATGTTCTGTTTATAGGCTGGATTTAGATTTTCCTGCAGTATGATGATTATTTAGAAAAAAAAAATATATATTTTTAATAAAAATACATGGCTTTAACATGCCATATCTAAGGAAAACTAGAATACTTATAAAGCTCGCTTACTAAGAAAAGAATGATGACTGAAATAGAAAAGAATAGAACATAACCTACAGAAATCGAGATCTTATAGCTCTATGTACCCTTATTTATCCTAGAACACATAAGTAATTTCCATATCACGATCAGCAAACTTTGTATTTCAGGTATCCTCAATTTTGGAGACTGGTTCTGAACAGTCCTAAGCACATGCTCTTCAGAAACCCTTCACCTCTCAAACAGAAATGAAAGCTGTTTGGTCCTACCCCAAGCAGGCCCTAATGCACCTCCAAGTCCAGTCCAAGGAAGCACATGCACAAGTTAATGGGCATTTCTGAAAAGAGCAATGCTGTTTCAGACAACACACCTGCAAGGCCAGCTCTCAGGTACAACACAGGTATGAATATTTACAGAAAGCTTTGAGTTCGTCACACACAGACAGGCACTATTCTTCTAAGCAGGAGGAAAGGAGAAAAAAAAAAAAAGGTGAAATCTGAGCAGTTATCTAGAATAAGAAAGTACTTTAAAAATAAATCTGGCAAGACTGAAAGCTAGTATTTTCTGGAGCTTAATGTTGCCTTTAATGGCTAATGGTTAGAGAATCTAAAAGGAGATTACAGCTCATGAGACAAATAATCGTGTCAAGCTTCCACACATTATTGCCTTGTTCTTTTCTTAATAATTAATGATTAAAAATAAGCAGCTACTAACAGAAATTTAATTAATGGATTAGTCACCCACACAGATTATATGCTATTTTATGTATGTTTTAAACAACAGAAAAGGATCCAGCGTTCACCTCAAAACTCCTAGGTATGAGCCTGGTGTAATTACACTGATAAAGGCTTATTTTTATTTTAGTTCAGCTTCAGAAAAAGTGATGCATATTTAATCAAGTTCCTCAAACACAATAAAGTACAAAGAAGTACAAAGACTGCCTGAAAGGAGAATAAATTAACTTAATCTAAAGCTTTTAACCTAATGATGGTATTAATTGAAAATAGTTGATGTCATCTGATATCTCCAACTTAATTTTCTTGTTTGTTTCCTCTAAATGTCAGGAAAATAAGACAATAATACATCGATAGTGTGATCATTCAAAGCTGGAGAAAAAAAAACAAACCAGTCATGAAGCATCATTTCCATCAGAAATAGCAAGAAATTATGATATTCAAGTTGCAAAATTACTCTGTATGACTCCTGCTCAAGTGAGATGCCATAGTAAAAAAAAAAAAAAATCTGTTGGTTTTTTTTTTTTCCTCCTAAGTAACCTACATACTCTAATATAGTTGGTTTTGCCTTCTTCATGAAACACTGGCCACCAAACAGGAACTCAAAATTTCATCAAACCTTACCTTCTCATTGCCTTTGAATACTTTAAAAATTTCATTAAATGCTAGATCCATCTGGACCCCTAAGACAAAAAAATTTAGAAGCCGCAAATGAAGGAGGCCATAATGTCTTCAGGAGTCTTCCCAACCATGAACATGCCTGCAGTCATGGATCATGGAAAGTCTCCAGTATATCATGTGAGTGATCTCAGGTAATGGATTAAACTCAATCTTAAATAAATCTAATCAGATTACCATCATTACCAAAATCTTTTGTTTTGTTTTTCAGACGTTCATGATGTCTACTGAAGAGGCAACTGATTTCTGTTTATAGTAGCTGTTTCCATAGGAAAACAAGGAAGTGCCCATTATGTGTGTCAAAGTAAGCAGATATGTTCTGCTGATGAGATTTTATACATAGCAATGTAAGAGTTTCTGCTTTGAATTTGGTGTGCCAGAACTAGAGTAAAAGGAAACAAAAAGTAGTTAACAAAACTGACCATACTGCTCTTAAAATTACATTATAGATACCTAAAAATTAGGCAAGTAACTGTACGTCATATTTAGCAAGAAGTCTGTTTCTGAGAAGGTGTGAACAGTTTTTAAGTGGTATCACATGCTGTTGAAAAATGAAACCAAAAAGTAACTTCATTTGTCTTTCATAAAGACAATGTTTTCTAGAATGTTCTTGTGCAATAGTCATTAAATATGCTAATAACAAAAGCTACTTTACTGTGTTTGAAGGGGAGCTGTAGATATGAAAGAAAGGTTATATATTTTCAGTCACAAGAAAGAATTTTCCTACATGACCTCTTTCAAAGCTATTGTATCTATATTGTACAACTTATCAAGGCTTCAATAAATAAACCTCAAGAATTTTCCCTTGAAATATTGCATTTTTGAAAAAAGTAGTCTGGCATTCCAGATACACAGGCAAGACTACTACTTTAATTGTTAGTTTTGGCCATTCATCCTGAAATGCAAGTTTGCACAAAATGTGGAATATGTTTTAACTGCATTATGATCTAGCTTGAAAGCTAACATCTGAGCGTAGGACAGAGATGCATCCAAATTTATTCACAGCAAGAACATTAACACCAGCAGGCTTAAAACATGCCAAGCAACAATCTTTCATTTAATTGCTTCCTATATTTAGAGTAATGCTACTTTATAATATTATTCTTTTAACAAATTTCTTAATAGGGAGGATATTATTTCAAGTATTTTCCATTTTATTTTATGCTAGATCTTCATCTCATGCACTTTATCAGGGTAGCAGACAAACTTCCCATAGGTCACTATCCGTTCACTTATCATGAATAACACAAAACGATCTCTCCCTTCCCCCCAACGAAGAGGGAAAAACAATATTTCTACTAATCACTTTAGGTCACATGACACATCAGATGAGTTTATGTGAAGCCTCCAACTAATTGTCCCATCTTGTCCCTACAGTTTTCTCTACTGGAAGGAGAGGTGTTCCCTTCTTCACAAGAACGTGCTGCACAGGAGTTATTAGCAACGGTCCCTGCTTCAGAACTTTAAACCACCCTGTGGACATTCCATGTCTCGTAATGCATATGAAAAAAGAAAATTAATTCTCAGAAAAAAATTTAGATAAGAATCCCAATAAAAGGGGAATTTTGATAGGCTTCTCAAACTCTGCATGTTAATGAGACTCATTATAGTTGAAATAACTGAACCCGGTGAGCTTTATATCCAGATGCATCACAATGCTATATTTCAGTCAGAAACAGCAGGTCAGTGATTATCTAAAGCCAAATTAATCTTCAACAAATGGACAAACCCAGACAAGAGACACATTATTACTTTTGTTGCTGTGCAGGAGTTCTACCATTGAGGATGCTACGAACTCTTAAAATGAGTAACAAGGGAAATCAATTTTCTGCCAAAGAGGACCACAGACCTTTTGACAGGCTGCCTTCTTTTCACCTGTGACACTTCAGTCTACTGTGGCATACACATACATGCTGAAGAAAAGGCAAAGACGTAGACTATTCTCCATGATAGATTTGTTGACTTGTTTACATACATTCAGATCATCCTGCCCACATGAATCTTCTGCATGTAGAAAACCAAGATAAATTCTCAAAGTTTTATCTGTCTAAACTGCTCTTAGAAATGATAAACAGCGTCTAGCAGCCATCTAAAAACAGAAAACTCTTTGGTACATGTCGCATGTATCAATTTAGAACAGAAATACTACAGAAGTGAGTTTTGTACAAATAGTTAAATGATATGTATTTGTTCATTTATCATGGATGATATAAAATCACCTTTCCCCCCTCAAAAAAAAAAAAAAAAAAGGGAGAAAGGAGGGGGAAAATATTTCTACTGAAACCTCTAAGTTACAGATAGAGTGGTATTTCATTTGCAATATTCAGTAAATCAAAGACCTAGCCAGGGAGAGGGAACAGGTACCAGTCAGCAACATGAAATCCAAGAGAGCTCCCTCAAATAAAAAAACATCCCTGATGAATTAATTTCACCTGACTGCAGGAAAAAAAAAAAAAGCCACAATGAATACTTTTGTGCTTCTCTGAAGAAGAAAGAGCATCACGGACAGAAAGATTAAGAGTCTATTGATATTCTGTCAACAACAATGGCAAAGAAAAAAATTCTCAGTCTCTCTTCATGCTAGGAACACAAACACTGACAGGGATGTGGATGCAAAATGCCAGAACATCATTGTCTTTGTACTGCCTTAAGAACTTCACATCTCAGCTCTAGTCCAACAGCAATGGGATATTGCCGAGCTATCACGGACAATACGGCAAGCTTGCCCTGAAACTCTTACACCAGTATAGGTTTTGCAGTGGGGATACAGGAGGAGTTGGTGGTCCACAGCAGAGGCAAGGCCAACTAGTTTCTCTCCCCTGACTCCAACAGAGCATGCACACAGGTGGGGTCAAATAGGGGCCAGACACTTCATGGAGGTACCTGATCAAAATGATCACCCAAGACCCCATGAAACGCCCTTTGCCTCACTTTAAGATTCTCAAGTTTATGATATGCATATTCAACTTAGAGAGCACCCAGCAACTTAGACACCCTCCCAGAGGAGGACAATCTCTATAAAAAGATTTTTTATAGAGACATGAAAGAATCTGCGTTGACTCACCACCTGTGGACCAGGAACTTAACTCAAAGACAACACCACTGGATCCATGGGTTGCAATACCTCTTCTTTTCTCTTAACTTTCTCCTTTCTTTTCTGCCTTACTTTTCTAACTCAGATCTCAACAGAAATATTTAGAGAAGTGTAAGTATAAACTGTGTAGAAGCTAGTTACTTTGCATTTTCTGTTCTCCTAGCCTATTTCTCCATAATTTTAAAGTAAAAGGTGGTTCAGTTTTGTAGGGTTGCACGAAGAGGTTGGTTATTTGGTTTCTGTCACAGAAAAAGATGGAGATGAAGCCTTGCTTCTGGTATAGGATGTGGGATTGCTCACAGTATGATGGCAATAACAGTAAGAAACAGTAACAATGAGAACACCGAAGGAGTTCAGCAAAACAATCCCTTTTCTCACACTAGAAACCTGTTTCTCTACACGAAGTTAACAGGTTGGGTTGTTTGAGGTTTTTTTTTTTTGGGGGGGGTATTATTGTATGCCTTTAAGTGCTGTAAGAAGCATGATACAGTCACACTTGCTGTTTAACTTGGACATAAGGTATGACATGAAGGAAGGTGTAAGAGCAAAAATTCTAAGCAGCATTCTTTATGAGAACAAAGAAGAAAAAGATATAGCCTATATTTTAGTGACAGATAACCACATTTTTTTCAAAACCTTTCAAACAAACCAACCCACCCAGAAAACAGCTCCCAGAACTACCCAGCAAGTTACTGCAAAGACAAAAATTGTATTTCTCCATGTAAGACTAGTTAATTTGGCAACAGCCATTGCCACAGTTCTACTGTCTGAATGCCTACATAAGGTACCCACTATTTTCCAAAAATATGTCTTTTGACACTGTTGAAGAGGGCAGAAATATTTGCAGTTGTAAATTTGCCAAAAATTCACAACTGCACACGCACATAACAGAGCAATATTGTAAAGCAAATATTTTTCAACTGGAAAGCATCCTGCAGTGAAAAGGATGAGTTCTGTGGTTTTCTTTGTTCAGATTGTCCAGGTTTCCCAAACTCAGAAAAATATACCTGTGTTATCTGAACATGAAATTATAGGTAAATGATCCAAGAAATCATTTCCTGTTACTGCCCGATTTTCTGCAAAATTCAGGCATTCAAAGCAAACAAGTACTTACTACAAAATAAGCCAACCAACAAAACAAACTAAACCAAACAGACAAAAAAAAAACCAAAAAAAACCAACAAAATAGCAAAACAAACAAACACAAACAAACAAACAAAACAAACAAACAAAAAACCCATAAACACCAAACCCAGGCATTCAAAGCAAACAAGTACTTACTACAAAATAAGCCAACCAACAAAACAAACTAAACCAAACAGACAAAAAAAAACAAAAAAAAACAAAAAAAAAGAGCAAAACAAACAAACACAAACAAACAAACCAAACAAACAAAAAAACCATAAACACCAAACCCAACCAAACCCAACCCCAAAGCCCAGAAGAGAGATGTGGGGGCTTAACTGTGTCACTGTACTTACCTTAATGTACATACAATTTTTTTAATAGCACATTGGACAATATCCTTGGGAGAAAAACCTAGATCTCCAACAGCCACTTGTAACAACTGCTGTATCATATCCAGGGGCTGACCATCCATACACATAGCTACTGCTTGCTCATGGATTTTTTCTTTCTCTGACCTTGACAAATCATATAAGTAGCCATACTTCTGCAGTGTATCCTGTGAACAGATAATTTTTGAACGCTAATCAGCACACTCTTTATTTACTGGGCTGTATCATCCTGAGACATTCTACAAAGATTTAATGTATACTATGAAAAAGGAAAGACTGATAGAAGGAAATTTTCAAAAATCAGGTCAACAAAAACAAAGGTACAAAGCATTAATAAAATACCACAGAAGATTTTTGTCCATCATTGATAGTCATGGCAAACCACAAAATATGCACCTGATCAGTAACAATTACCTGTTTGCTGCTTTTCAAGTTAGTGATAAAACTGTGTGTAAGTGTTTCCAGATGAGCAAGAGATTGCTGCAAGTGATTCAGAGTTCCTTCATAAACAACAGATGGATTTTCAGCGTCTTCCAGGTCATTCTCAGAAGGTTTTTTTCTTGATTTCTCAGAAAGATGTTTGACTGCCTTAATAGCCTTCATAGTCACTTCTATCCTGGCCTCAACAGGCAGCTGAAAAAGATTACTTAATATTTTATCATTTATCATCTGTACACTATTATTTGTATTAACATCAGTGCCTAGAGGTCAGGTGGTTCCAAAGTTTTATGGCACAGCATAAAACTAAATTAAGTATTTTTTGAGAAAAATTTACTACTTATTAGTAATTTATTTAAAAAGGATCAGTATTCCATTACTTTTTGTTGTCCTTCCTTCTACTGATGTTGAATCTGACTCAGTTTAAAACATGACATTTCTTTTGCCCAATAATATTTATGAATTTTGTAGATTGCCACCTTATAATCTTTTTTACTTCTGAACTGAGAGATGTCTGGGGATTCTTTTGCAATATTAACTGAAAATCTCAGATGCTGAAAATTAAATTAAGGTTAGTTTTGTCAAGTGTAGATCACTGTTTAAAGTGTGCCCTTAAGACCATAATCATAAACAAAAAACAGTAGGAAGTTGACAACTTTTAAATCAAGCTATGTAAAGCAGAAGTTATACAAAACAGCAAGTTACTATTTTGAAAGACCTGTACAAGATGTATCTAATCATTAAACTGAAACAAAAAAGCCTGGGCTTTTTGTCCCCATTACACTTTCAATAGAGTTTTAATTTTTAAATGGAATCATACATACACTGAATTAAGGTTTCCCCTACCCCTCCATCTGGCATGAAAGGGTCATTCCAGCACACCAGAATGGAATTTAGGACTTCAGAATGGAGCCTGGGCAATGATCACAGATACCCAAGCTTCCAGAAAACAAGAGTATGTTGGAAAGGAATATAGATGGAAATACCCTTTATACAGATAGTACTTGCAGCAAATTGTTGTGCTTTTAGGTCAGGAAAGACAGTCTCAGCTCTAAGTCAAAAACAAAGTCTGAAATACCATTTTAAAAATTCATGTATAGTTAGTTTATAACTTCAAGTACAGTTTTAAGGATGCTTGCAGTAAACATTCTAATGGGTGGGGTCTCCTCTGCCTAAACCCACAGCATTAGGTACTTTTAACATCAGGTGTTTTTATTACTGGAAAACTTGACAAAGACACAAAAAATTTTAATTATCAAGATGAAGTACACAAGAAAAAGAAAACCAAGCTTGAACCTGTATGACACATTGAGTAGGCAAGAGGCTGAATTACCACAGAAGGAGGAAAACTAAACTGCTATAGCACTGTTCTTAAGAAAGTCAACTAGATGTTTCCATCATGAATTAAACTACCTACCTGTAAAGCCATAGAAAGCATTAGTTAGTGGAAAGCTTTAGAGCTTGCCTACTTCCACCACCTTAAAAATACACAGTGAAAGCTGTAGGGTTTAATCCTGTTTTTTCATGTTGTTGCTGCAAATCACAGCAATGGTCTAGTGGATATTTTTCATGGTAACAGCAAAATGGTTTACATTGTTGTAAAAGTTAATAAAACTTGGAAGTATTAACCGAGTAAACACAAAGGGTACTTCAACATTTGGTTCCAAATGGAACTCAGTTCCATTCCCATCAAAAGTAATTAATCATGATTTTGTTATTTTGAACAAGGTCTCAATAATTTGGTATTTGGTATTTACTATAAGCAAGGAAAAGGTGATAATCTTCACATCACATGCAATTTTAATGACCACAGATGGATTTATATATCCACTTTACAAACATGATAAAAGATGAAAACAGCTATGTATTTAATTTTTCCCCTTCTACTGTACATTCTAACGTTCAAAATGCAATAAAGAGAAATGCAAAATGCAAACAATTAAAGTAGTCCATCAAACTGTTATAACCTAGAGAACAGTGTGAATATACTGCCAGTTTAGAAGTCATGGTGCCATCATAAACACACACAGAATAAAGCATTCAAAAATAAAAAAAGCAATACAAGTTCTTCCCAAGACTATTTTAATTTTGCATTCACATTTGCATAGCATCAAAATGCAGCATTATCATTTCTCTGGTTATTTTATTTGAAAACATGAATGGCTGTCCTCCATATTTCTAGTCAGCTTCAGTAATGAGATTTGGTATCACACCCAGTGATAAAAAACAGTAGCTTAGAGGTTGGTTCTATCTTTGCTTGCATGTGAAGCTCTCTTTTTATAAAGCTTCTACAGTTTGAAAATATTTAAAATTCTATAGGCTATACCGTGTAATGAGGAAACCTAAAAATCTGTTTTCATTCATTTTCAAATCAAGGAACATCACATACTATTTCAGCTCAACAGATTCCACTCCTCAGGGTAAAAACTCATCTCAGAAGCCCATTTCATAAAATTACAGAATCACAGAATGTTTTGGGAAGTTTAAAGGTCATCTAGTCCAACCCCCCTGCACTGAGCAGAGACATCTTTTTTTGCTCAGAGCCCTGTCCAGCCCGAGTTTGAATGGTTCCAAGGATGGGGCATCTACAACCTCTCTGGGCAACCTGTCCTCTGATCATTTCTGTGGCCTTCCTCTGGACTAATTCCAACACGTCCATGTCTTTTTCTTGGGCTGAGGACTCTAGAGCTGGACACAGTATTCCAGGTGAGATTTCATCAGAGTAGAAGGGAAGAATCACCTCCCTTTCACGTGCTGGCCACAGTTCTTTTGATGCAGCTCAGGATATGATTTGCTTTCTGGGCTGCAAGCGATCCAGGTGTAGGGCCTTGCACTTGGCCTTGTTGAATTTCATGAGGTTCACACAGGCCCACTTCTCAAGCTTGTCCACTCCAAATTTCTTTCAGAATATATAAGCTTTTATTAATAAAGTATTGTACAAGTAACATTCACTTGCAAATGAAGACATTGACCCTACCACTTTTACTGCAAGTGATTAGCACGTAGCCTTGAGACTATGGAAGCAGTTCTCCAACTCTTACTGCCACAGGAACCTGGGATCCCAGCAACGTTGAAATGCAGAATGGTTGAGGCTGGAAGGGACCTCAGGAGGACATCTGGTCCAAACTCTCTGTTCAAAGAGGGTCACCTAAAGCCAGTTGCCTAGGACCATGTCCAGGTGGCTTTTGAGTATCTCCCTTGTGGGAGACTCCACAACCACTCTGCACAACCTGTGCCACTGATCGGTCAGCCTCATAATGAAAAATGTTTCCAGATGTTCAGATGGAATAGTTTGACCCAGTTCACATCTCTGCCACTGAATTTCAGCTTTACATATTCCACCAATCAAATGTCACATGGTCACAAGCCAGCCAGGTATATTAGAATGGAAAACAAATTACATTAGTTGTTTCAGAAGTAGGTGAAACAGCTAAGGAATAACAAAAAACTGGTTCCAAACTCCTATGTGGGGGGAAAAAGAGAAAGAAGAGCAAACCAAGAAAACTTGTGGGTGAAAACAGTTTGATACATGAAGGAGAGAGAAGGACAAAAATCCCGAAAAAACTAAAATGCAAGTGATGCAAAGGCAATCACTCACCACCTCCCAGAAGCAGACCAATTGCCCAGCCATCTCCAAGCAACAACCGTATTGTCAGTCACCTACTGCTGAGCATGACGTTACGTGGCACAACGCACCTCGGCCAGCCCAGGTCAGCTGTCTTGGCTGTGTCCCCTCCCTGCTTTTGCCTACCGGTAGCCTACTCAGGGCTGTGTTGTTAGTTAAGAAAAAGAGAAAGCCCTGATTGTGTGCAAGCAGTGCTCAGCAACAGCCAAAAAGCTGGTATGTTATAAACATGATTTTACTCACAAATCCAAAGCACAGCCCCATAGAAGAAAGTTAACTCCATTCCTGCCAGACCCAGCACAGTTCATCTGGACATCAGTGTAATTATTATAACTATTTCATACTAATGGCCATGTTTTTTTTTCAGTCCTTTATGTGTATAAAATATCAGTACTTCCGTAAGATACAGAAATGTGCGTCTGTTATGGGAATGGGAGTTGATAAAGTACTTGGCCGTAGAACTGAGCTGGGAAGAAAGCGCTGAATTTGCGATTAAATGAGTGATCATGTGACCAGCGCAGCCCAAAACAGGATGAAATTTTAAGTAAAAGGTGCAAGTCAAATGGCAGCTTTTATGTATGAAACATTTTTCAGATCAAAGTTAGACAAAAGTGTTCTCTTAGAAATAAGTTTTCAGGTTCTATGATGACAATTTTTCATACTACATTTCCACTTGAAAATTGGATGGGATCCTCAGACCAAACGAGTTGCAAGCTGGTTGAACAGCTGCTTCATTCCCAAACCCAGTGCAAGGGACACAATCAGATGACTTGACCAACTGTTGCAAACATTTCTTGAGTACTTTTTGTGGCCAAAAAGCTAAGAGATTTCTACCACAAAGTTCTGCTTGGCCACCAACCACCTTGCCATCAGTATTTCCTTTCTGCTGCTCCTACTCATCTTAAAGAGAGTAGAGAAGCTGTATTAGAATCCTAAAGAGACATAAACAAAGGAAAATAAACTATGTGTTTCTAAACAGGTAATAGTGGAGGGTATCCATCCACACCCTGCACCATTTGTCTGGAATAAATGAGAAATAATCTTGAAATGCCCACGATACATTGACAGGAAGAGTTTCAAGTAGTCACTAGCAGCAATCATACACAAAGACAGTATTTCCTTATCATTAGACAACAGTCATCCCTTGGCTACCTCAGTCCAGGATCAGGTCTGGCAATTGAGATCTCAGAATGAGTGTCAGTCTTTCCTGATAGGCATGAAACACTCAGTATGATTATGTGATAGAAAGGATCAACACACCTAATCACCACAGTGGTTCTACTGAACAGGCTAAACAGACACCTGATTAAACTAGTAACAAAATGTGTTGGTCTAGCATGACAGATTAAGACATAAGTTTGGTGCTTTTTATTTTTTCCTAGAATTTCAATGAGTAGTACATTTTTTTCCAACAAATTTTGGTATAGGTATAGGTTAGAAGGCTTCTAAAAAATTTATACTAATATCATGGGAACACTAAAATAATACCCAAACAGGGAAGAAACTGAAATTCCCATTGAATGAGATTAATAAACACCTCTGGAAAATGAGCATTATCCAGAATACACAAGATAAAGACAAAAAAACCTGCAAAACACCACCTCTTTTCATTTTAGATTGTTAGTGAAGGCATTTCAAGATCTTTTAATAAGGGAATACCTAAGAATTCCCATCTCTTTTTTGTGCTTGACAGTAAAGATGCATAAGAAAGCACGGGTACAACTGTTAGAAATATCCTAGTGGGCAAAAAGAAAATGCAGACCTGGTAATATGTGTCACAGACATGAAAGTATGTTCTTTCAATAACAGGTTTTCAGCCAGATGGAGATTATGGCAGTTTATCTTGTATATTATTACAGTGCCTAGAAACCATATGCACTGGCCCAGAACATTTCTCTGTGGAATGTCCTACTCAGAATGCAAAAGCCTGGTACTAAACACAAGCCTGCAGCACAATGAATTTTAGGATGAGCACAAGCAAAATAAATAAAAACACAAGAAGACCATCTTACTTTCTGCTCAACCAGAATACAGGGACTTTGGGGTTCCATCAAAAACTCTCCTATCCACAGAGCTAATTCCTCTAACTGAATAACAACTTCTTGTATACTGGCAGTCATAAAAAGAAAAGGTAGAAAGAGAAAGTACATTGATGAATTTATCTTTAAAAACTGTAAAATGGAAAATGTAAAATCTGTTGGGATTTTCTCCTTGATGCTATATTCAACCATGCCTCACCTGAGGTCTGAAATTCTTCAAATCTATCTGCTTACCTTTGTGACAGCTTTTGAAGAAAAGGTAATTTCATCAATAAAAGTGATGATATCATCTGGATCAAGTCTATCCAAGTACTTTGAACACATATCATATGCATGTAGCCACTCATCCGTGGTTTCTGGTATTTTTTTAATGAGATGATGATCGCCATTCCAAAAAAGTTTTTGTAACCAGACAGCATAAATAGAGCTTGGTGACAGCATGCCGCCATCTCTTTTAGGAATTTTGGGAGCAAGTTTGGAAATAGATAAAATGTTCTGACTTGTAAGGACAGGCTCCAGTGTTTCCAGAGGGTTTTCATTTTCATCTGTTAGCTTTTTGTAATTAAGACCTATTGACAGAAGTAGAAAAGGGTAAATAAAATACAAGTTATCCATAGTTCAATCTACTCAAACACTACATTTACATGTAACTAAACTGGTATCTGCAGACCTAGAAAGACTCTGCTCCATCTCCTTTTACAATCATACATACTGACAGACTGGGAAGGAAGACAGGTTTATAAACAGCTAACTCTTGGATTTTACAGTGTCCTGAGATGTGTGTGAAATCTCCCAGTCCCTGGAACATAACATTACATATCGATACAAACTAAAAACAGCAGATTCTCAACAAAGCAAGAATATATATACACAGTACATAGACTCATGCTGCTATTTTTTTTAATATAAAGCCTAGAAAATCTCATCCACCTAAGGGATATGTCTTCTTTAATTAAAAAAAGACGTATTCTGATTATGTATCCATTGACACTTACTACCTATCTCAGCAAAAATGCAAGGCAATAACCACAAGTAAACAAGTGTAGACAACTAGAGACAGGACATATAGATTTACATTTACATGAATATCCGTATATTACAAGAGTCCTATTACTACTCTGGTTCTCACAGGAAGAAAACTTCTGCAAATTATTCCAGCAGCAACAAAATATTTCTGGCAACAAAACTATTTTACATATGCATACAATTCCTAAGACAATCAACTTCTATTGCTATTTCTTTCTTCATATACTTAGGGCCTGTAACCACTTAACTTTGCTGTTGTTCCTTGCCTACTATCCATACACTATGCTGAACACCAAGAATTTTAATTAAGGGTATAATGCAATATTTAATTTTTTACTGTACAAAGTGACTGATTCATGTCTGATGTACGGTCCTAGGACTTTGACTTTTTTGACTAACATTTAAAATAGCTCTGAAAGCAAAAAAACCCCTTCTTGACAGATTTTCTTTTGACAACCATCATAGAACTTGAGTGTTTAAACATCAGTAAGAACTGAATATAATCCTTTCCTCAAAAATAAAACAAATGCCTTTTTTTCTTCTTACAATACATGAATTCATATGCACAATATTTCCAAATTCTGCAGCAAAGCTAGTGTCTAATATCCATGAGGTTCCAGTATTGAGCAATTAATTGACCCCCACAGCAGGTAATCCCATACAGTGTATTTTTTTATTCTGAAGCTGTGTTTGGAGATATTTGACTGAAATCCAAGATGCTGCTAATACTTCGCTAAAAAACAAACTCAAAGTAGTGCTCAAAATTTCAGAGTCCTTTCCACATGCTCATTTTTATAGAGAAATCTGATTAATATAGGAGGACAAAATTGTTCTGGAAAAAGCAAAGGGTAACATCAAGGGTAAAACACAAAATAAAATTATCCTCTTTAAAACAAACAAATAAAATGCTTAAAGTTCCTAATGTATTATGTAATTCTGACTTTTGAAAGGTAAAGTGTCTCAAGTTTGTTGAGAACATTCATGTTAAACTTGCCATGTTAAAAATTATGCTCTAGGTGGTCTGAATTTCTTTTTTAAAAATTCACTGTGAATCATTGCCAATAATTTTAACTTGCATGACCAACAGAAACACGTTTTGAAAATATTTTTTGCTTGCTGTGATAAACTAGATTTTCTGTAATACAAAGAGAAGGAACTTACTCCTATTAGATATGACTAATCTACTAAAGTGTTTGCACCCATTTGATATGCTCACTGAAAAATAATGACTTGGATCATATAAACTTGATAAGCATAATCACGTAAACACTTACATAACAGAACAATAAATACAGTTACGAAGAAAAAAAAATAAAAGCAAGGAACTTTCCTACCTGGTGCAACCACTTTGAACTTTTTCAGGAGGCGGATGTGGGTGTCAGGTTTGACAGTATGCTTCACCACTTCTGAGCAACCACAGTTTTCAAGGAGTGTAAAATAATAAAGTAACCGCTGGTGATCTCTGCCTTCAATACTTGGGTAAACATATTTAACCATGTGTTCATGTAAAGTTTCAGGACTGGTTTTCAAAGTCTCAAGCAGACCAAGACTTTGTGCTCTTTCTTCTATTTCCAGTGTCGATAACCTACATTTAAAAAGAATTTTGGCTTTAAAGGCCTGGACGTGCCATGGAAGACTCTTCAGCTACCCGCTTGGTAGACCAGGACAAAAAACTTTCCTTTCTTTAAGGTTCAAATTTGTAAGACATTTTGAAAGAGTAAATGTTCACAATTATTTAGATAATTCTTATTCTCTGTGAACAAAAACTAAGGAGGTCTTGTATTTTTTGATCTGTTACATGTTGACTGGGACATGCAGATTAAGGGTCATAAATACTGAAGTAGGATTCAAAGTAGGATTTCACATCTCTACATACAGTTGTATGTAAAAATAGACATATGTCCCAAGTATGTGTACAGAAAGCCTTTAAAAACAAACAAACAAAAAAACAAAAAAAAAAACCCACACAAAAATGTCTTGTTGATTTTTTTAACATCTGAATGATGCTAGAAAATCCTATTGCCTAATTAGAAGTTCTCCTAATCTATTACATTCTGTCCTCTGTAGTCAGTGGGCACTTGTGCATGCTTTCAGAGACACTGCCACTGAAAATTGTCTCTTGCTCACTAATCTATTTGACACTATTACTCAAGCTTTGCTTATTTCATTTGACAGTTTTATCAAGTCAGTTCTCAAACTGTCATCCATGAAAGCTTATGAAAATATCAGCAAGTCTTGGGATGACCTCAGCCAGTCCCACTGCTTAAGGAATTTTTTTCTGATCCTTTTGAAAAGAATACATTAGCTCTTGCACAGCATGATTTCAGACACCTCCAGCCGGTTACATGAAAGATAGCTGCGTGCAATCACTTATTTCTTCCTCAGCTGGAAGAAAAATGGGTGTATATCAAGGAAGCCTCACCTTAAGCTTATACTTTCCTCAACTGAAAGTTTTACCTAAAATCTGAGGGAAGAAGTAATGTACAGAAGACTACCACGTTGACTTTCCCCAGAACGCAATTATATGCCACTTTAGGTAGTACAATTCATTTGGAAATCTTATGTCTTCTAATCCCACTTGATTTTCTTCTAGCTTTAAAATTCATTAAATTAGAAATTCAACATCAATTTTTCCTTAGTAAAAATGCCATATGCAAGTTAGAGCTTTTCTTTGATATCCAAGTAAAAACGTCCCAATTTCACCCCTAAAGATGATTTTCTTCCACCAAATACCACAAACACAAACTTCTCTCAGTTTAAAAATTACTCTGATTTCTGAGACAGAAAGGTATCTTTTGAGTTATTTTTATATCTAGAACCTACCACAGGTTGTTAATTTTCTAAACATTATCTTAATTCTCTAAATTCTTGTTATTGGTTAAGTGTTTTACCATATTAATGGAAACAAGTACAACATTAATGGAAATAAAACAACATTCACTCTTAGTATCAGACAAAACAGACACTTGGACTCGATATATTTCAAGAGTGTGAATACATTATTCTATCCACCCTCAAAGTTCACACTAAAGGATAGATGGACATTAAATTATATTGACAGGATTCTCAGAGGTTTGTCATGTGGTTTTGGGGTGGAGTTGGTGATGGATAGGAAGGGTCCATTATGCTATTCAGAAAGATTCTGGAATAATAGATTCTATGACAGGCAAACAAAATTTCCTGTCACTGAAGTCACAAAATGCATTTTATAGATTTTTGGTAATCAAAAATTATCAGATTCTTCAAAAGAAATAATTAAATTTCCCCTGAATTTTAAAAAATACAATTTTAAACAATCTTCATCAGATTCAAATTCACAGCATGACAAAAAAAACCAACCTGTGGTGTTTATTTGTCATCAAGTAATTGAAGAAATAGTTAATACAAACTATATAAGTGCTTCTTTTGAGCTTCTCCCTACGTAAAGTGGCTTATAGAAATACTGCATATTCAGTTAAAGAGATTAAGTCTTAGAATAAATTCCTTTTCAGTTCAGAATGAATGCATAACGAGGTATGCATTATTAATGCCATAATCCCAAGACTAAAACATACTGTAATAGCCATATGCTGTCAATCAACTTTAAAATGAGATTATGATACAACAAAAACATGCTCAGCAGCATATTATGCTATTATACATCAATTTGCAAGACTTTTTTGAATTTCATTAGGGAAAAGGTTGTTACTTTGTACTTCAGTGATTTCAGAATTCTATGAATACTAACTCATGGAGGACAAGAACAAAGAAAACCACAGAAAACTGCTGCAAAATACCTAAGGTAATATTCCAGTCCCAGACAAGTCAGGTGACTTTTTCACACTCACCCCAGTGTTGCCATGTTTATATCCTGGCTGCCTATTTTGTTTAAAGCACTAAATAATTTAGCAGCATCAAAATTTATAGGCTATGACTTCTGGAGGAAGCAAAGGAAAATCTCAATGTTATTTCATCTTCTCAGATCTTGCACCAACATCAAGCTTTGGTTTTTATGTCTCATATTTTATAAAATGTTTTAATGCTTTTTAATTAATAGTTAATGTTAACAGAGGTACAAATACTGCTGCAAGCTGAAGTTGCTTTCACGATTTAAAATTTGAAACAAATGACTAATCTGATCATGTCTGTCTGAACAGCAGATATGAGCTGCTGCATTACACAGGGGGTTCTGCATCACTGTCATCTGCATGTGCTATTCAGGCAAGCAGCTTAGTCTTTCACTGAGTGGGTTTATTCATCTTTCAGGTCCTGGAACCAACCATGGAACAGAAACTAAAAGCATCCCTCCACTCATGCCCCACAAAAATGTCAGGTATGGTCTGCCATAATCTGGTAGGCTAGAACAGTTCCAAAGAAATATTTGAAAGAAAGAAAAGTCCTTTTATAGAAAACTGAAACTGAGATGAATAGATTAATAATGTGAATGAGAAGTCCCAATAAAATTATTTCCTCTTCTATTATGTAGAAAAGAGATCACCAAATCACAAAACTAATATATATAAATTATTTATTTTAAAAACCAAAATAACAAAACAAACAAACAAAAATAAACACCAAAAAAAACCCAACTACCCTAAGATGTTTCAGGATATATTCCAAGGGACTGTAAAAATAACTACAAAATATATTCCTGTTGGAAGAATGTGCTAACCTTCAAAGCTATGGAAACCTAAACACTGAAACAAAAGTCCTGGGGTACTTAGAAGAACAATAACATATATACGAAATTTGTCTGTGTTGGTAACACCTGTTTTTGTGGCTGGTTACAAAAGCATCACATGGAAAAAACAAGGATTCCCAAATTATCACAAAACAAAAAAATGTGCAAACACAAACCAAACTCTAGCCCCAATACACTTCAATTTGCTCATAGGCTAGCAAATATTTCTGTGTAACAGCAGAGTATGTGTATTGGTAGAGGAGGCAACTCACCCACTGTCAGTGAATAAAAACTCCAGATGTGTCATGTGCACTTCCCAAAGTGGGACGCTGTACCGCTGAGCCAAAGAAACAGCAATCCTGTACACATTGTCCTCAAGTGTTCTTACAGAGAGACACGAAAGAAAACAAGGAAAAGTTACACTAAGCCCCTAGAGACATGACATGAAAACAAATATTTACATTAGAAAATGAATGACTTCTTTAACAAACAAGTTTCATAAACCAAGAAACTACAATCACTGTTAAAAATACACACAAAGTGTGTCTTCTTGCATTTACTTAGTGCTCCATATGGGGAAAAAAAATAAGGGGAGGGGGAAGGAATCAAACTACAGAGCTATTCCAAACACAACAAAATTCTGCTCCACCTGCTCCACATACATTTTGGTTCTCAATGACAGCTTCTGCCTAACCTTTGTTGTAAAGCAAAAACCTCAGTTTTAATCTCATTTCAATTACAAAGTGATAAAGGAAGTCGTGTGTCACAGCACTTATTTGATTTAGTTGCAACACCTACAGTGTTCTAGCACGACTATTGTGTAGGTCTTCAAAGCTCTTCCTAGAAGCTCACACACAGAAACACCCTTAGTGTTTGCAGAATAAAAGTAAGTGTGTAGATGTCCAACTCCACTCTATAAATGTCCTAGAAATGTTAAAAACTGTTTTTCTGTTCTTGTATTTTGCTTTAAAAAAACAATAGATGGAGAATCTGTTAAGTGAACCAAGCCTGAAGTTAACTTCATATTATTTTTTCTAATCCAGTGAAGTTAGTATAGTTCAGATAGACACAAGTGGTTCCTGGCTTTAGGATGTTATAGGAGCAATACTATTAAGGCTGATGCTGGGTTCTCTACATTTGATTTTGGTTCAGTTCTCTGTTGTGGTTTTTTCGTTCGGGATAATTCCAAGAAAAATTATATCTGTTTGTTATTAGATCCTAGCAGACCTGTAATGAACAGCTTGTAACAAAATATATTTGATATCATATGGTCAGCAGAATTCTCTTTAGATTCTTCAATTAAAAAGTTATGTGGGACTAAGCGAAAAAAGCCTTACACAATATGAACTATTAAACAATACAATTGCAATTATTGGTAAATTCATTTACAAACTTGTATTAATACAATACTGTTAGCAATATATTAATATAATACTTAATATATTTATGAGTTATTATAATAAGACTCATGTTAATTTCACAAACTTAAGTGACCTTACCCTATATGTTTAACATATTTACACCTTAGATTCTTTACATAGTTTTCTACAATCCTGAAGGGGTACACTTTGTGGAGAAATAGTATCTTTTAGTACATTTTTTATACCATCACCATGATCCATGTACGACAATAATGAACTATTAAGCAGTATTCTAGCCCCCAACACTGATCTCAATACCTTCATTAATTGGGGAAAAAATAAAGTGCATTGCTTTCCTCATATCATCAATTAAGACACAGAATATCTTGACAGAAAGAAAAGATGATCTTTAGGAATGATCTAATAACCCTCTGCTTAAAAAGTAAATACTACGGCAACTTCTAAAATGAACTGGGCAGTTCTAAAACAAATGATGCTACTGGAGAGAGTCCAACGAAAGGCCACAAAAATGCTGAAGGGACTGGAGCACCTCTCCTAGGAGGAAAGGCTGAGAGAGCTGGGACTGTCCAGCCCAGAGAAGGCTCAGGGGAGACCTCATCAAAGAATGTGAACACCTGCAGGAAGGATGCAGGGAGGACAGAGCCAGGCTCTTCTCACTTGTGCCCAGCGACAGGACGGGAGGCCGTGACCCTGTAAAAGATCTTCTACCTTTCTTTTATGCCCAGCCCTAACTGCCTGTCTCTGTGAGCCACAGGAGTGCCAGGGAAATCCCACAGAAGGCTCCAATGCAGGCAGTGGTTGGCTGCACTTGGTGCGTGTTGGTTTGGCACCAGCCTTGGTGCAGCAAAGCCTGAGGCAGTTGTTGTGGATGGCTCTTCCACACCCTGCCTGTGTGCTGGCACACACTTCCACAGTGTCAAAAAATATGCCTGTGTAGTACCATTCAGCTGGGATTTTGCTGACTATCTTCAAGCTCACAGAAATAAATATTTGGCATCTCAGAATTTATTTTTTTTTCCCCAGCTTGTTCTCTAAAACCTCCTTGCTGACAATTGCCATCTTCAACATTTTCTGCTGACATCAATCAGCTACAAACGCCACTGGACTCAATCATAATAAAGGGAAATGAGATACACTTTTCCAGTTGCCTCTTCCTCAAAAAAATGTTTAAAAAATAATCCAACTTGGAAAAATTAAATGAAAGTCAGAAAGAGCATTTACTTTCCTCTCATGTTTGGAGCAGAAAAATGAGATGGAAGGCTACGGCTGTTTGTTAAATTCTGCCGCAGGAATTCATCAGAGAGAACTTGCTGTTTACACTGGCAGTAGAGCAGAGCAGTACAGAAAAAGCATACACAACATTTCAGAAGCTAATGTTGCTAATATAAGCTGAAGTGCATCTGAAGTAGTTTTACATAGGATCTTCTGGTTCAGTCTTCTGGAAAGAGAACTAGTTCATAAGCACCAAAAAATTTCCAAGAACCCAACAAACACAACCTATGACATTCAGATTGCTTGATAATTGCACAACTTTTTCTAAAAATATGCAGTATTTCATATCAGTAACGTACGACAAAGAAAAAAAAAAATCAGTATTAAATCATTAAAATCAACTTCTAAATTCAGCTTTTTAAGAGAAGTAGTGAAAGGCTGAAGACCTTGGATCAGGTCAATGGAAAACCAAAACCAAACAAACCAAAACAAACAAACAGACCCAAACACACACACACCAACACAAAGCCACCCAAAAGCTGGCCTCAAGTAAAAGAGTAATTTAGAAACTTTACACAGTATAGCTGGCCTGAAACTACACTGGACTTCACTTCATCACTCAAGAACTCCCCTTCAGTCTTGGTCTGGCTTCCCTATTTCCTTTTCTGACTCAAGTGAATTGTTGACTGCTTGAGAACTAACCTTGATTAAGTCTGTGAGGCACCCAGATGTTTAAATACTTGATAAATAATGCATAATAAGCTCTAATGACAATACACCACATATGGAAGATAAAATTGACAACTCCCTGTTAAATAGTTTTAGCTAATTGCTCATTCTAGTACAAAGCTGTTTAGTAAGTAAGATACCATCTATTCCAGGTGTTCTTCCTGCAAACAGCACTTCATAAAAGATTAAAAACATGAGGCACTTAATGATAATTAAAAAAAAAAAAAAAATATGCTACACAATTATATTGAATTTACACACTGTTTTAATTAGAAAATGCAGATTAAGAGTAAACTATGAAGATTAAAGCGAGGAAGCTGCAAGCTGAACAAGTAATTAATTGGATCTTTGTAACTACCTAACATGGAACTACCACTCTCATCCACATGCTATGAAGCCTTATTTTTACTGACCCTTCCATATTGTGTTTGTCTCTACTTTCTGTGGAGAAACTTCCTCTTCATGTTTACTTTATTTTTATGAAAGACAGTATCTAAAGGACTCCTGAATGAGAATGTAAATAAGCATGCTGCATCCAAAACAAATGCCTGTAATAACGGAAGGATTTGTGTACTGAAGTTACTGTAGGCAACTACAAAGATGCAACACTCACCTCGTGACATACTACTGATATGTTATGTGCTTAATGAACAGCACAGCCAAACCTGGTAACTCCAATGGAAACACTAAAAGATGCTTACAAGCTATTTTTATGAACGCAGTGCCAAAATCTATGCAGGTATAGGTTTTATAGGTGTATCAAAAAAAAAAAAAAAAGCAGTAGCTTAGTGTTCAAAAGTGAGGTTATACTGCTTATTTAGCATTGTCTATCAAGACTTTTTTACTAACAAATTTCTGTTGGAATTGTATGTATGAGTAGCTACATAGGTGGAAGACTGTAAACATCTAAACGTGCTCTTCACATGCTTTATGCACAGAGTACTTTAAAAATAGGTTAAAAATTATACTAAAAGCTTCTTATTGCACAAAGCTCTTCCTTTGACAGTCTAGCAGCTATTCAGCTGTGATTGTCTTCAAAACAGAGTTCGAGTATATTCATGACTTTTTCACAGCTTATAGTACCTGCATGCAGGTCTTAATTAGAAGTATTTTTAAAATGAAAAGACAGTACTTATCTGTATCTTTCCTTTTTTTTTCTATTCTGGATAACTGAAAGGTGAGACAAAACCATTCTAAATGTCAGAATGTGTACAGTGAAGACTTCAGTACTTCCAAATTACTACAGGGGAAAAATGCTGTAATGTACAGTAGCTTTAACTAAATTATTAAAAACAAAATACAGTTAATTAACCTTTTTTTATTTTTAAATTATGATTCATTACAAAACTTCAATGCTTGAGCATATCCTAATAGATTACTAGGGCAGGTTTACAGGAGAGCAGATGAAAAGATCAGACCTCCATCTGCGCTCTGATTTTATTCATCCCTTATTAACTTCTAAATTAGCAGTTAACAAACAAAGAGTTACAGCTTCCATTAAAAGTTATTGATCCATTTATTTGAACAGCTAAGTGGAGTAGCAGAAAAGGCTCCAATTGTAGCAGCATTACAGTGTGAATATCTAAAGCAATTGGTAAGTTATCCCTTCCAAAAGTCACCACTACTTTCAATTTACTTTCCTGATTTAAAGCTTAAAGTAAATGCATGTTAAAATAAAGAAAATAAACATAATAGATGTTACTTACTCTGCCAATCCTAAAATTGTTTCTCTCTTGTACTGTCCATCTGCTGTAAACCTCTGCACATCCACTCCTTTGCCAAGTCCTTGCAGAATCTGAGCTTGAGTGAAATCCAGCAGTCGTTCGTTGTAGTAATGCAGCTGATTTATCAAAGTTGAGATTTCTTCAGGCCAGTCTGAGCAGCCATGCTGAGTAACGTGCTTTGTGACCATCTGAATCAACTCTTTTGGATCAGCCTGCAAAAATAATTGGCAGCAAACTAAAAGAAGACCTGTAAATATCTGCAAAACAATTTACCATTTTATAATTGGTCCCTGTGTTCAGAACGAAAACATTTATTTCCACTTCTGAGAAGTTTTATGTACAATAGAATTCCAAATTTTCTGTAAGGGCTATTCACTATGACATTAAAATTAAAATATCCTTTTGGAATATTTTAGACTATCCTATATGCTACAAAAAAAATCAAGCAAACTTACTTACCCAAATTAATAGTAACAAGTACTTCACCATGACTGGATTTGTCTGGTTTCAAAACTCTCACTTTTATTAATGTTGAACTAGGCAACTGATTGGTAAAACACTCAAACAAATAAAAGAAAACTTACAAAAATCTCTCCTCAATGCCAAACACTACAAGTAAGTTTACTCTAAAACAGACTCCAGCTCAAAAATAAGAATGGGAGCAATATTGCAAATTGTGGATTTTTTTGTTGAATTTCTGATACACTTCTATTGTACAAAACTGAAAAAAAGGAATAACTTAGCATTTTAAGTGTTAAGCAATGACACTTTCAAAGAACAAGAGTTGTTGCACGATCTGCAAATTACACAAGACATTGCCTACACCCTGAAATCTTCAAATAATTAAATACTGATCATCCATGGATTAGGTCAGCCTTGGTTTTCAAAATATCTTCATCACAAATCAAACTTACTTTTCTTCATTAGATATTATGCATTGAGTGCATATTTGATGAACCACTAACTTCTGCAGCCAAAAACCCACGTAGCAAAGCAAGAATTCAGAACATGAAACAAATAGAGCCTGCATGTTTGCAATGAAATCAGAAGGCCTGTACTGTCGGGAGTTCCCAGTTGTCTCTAGATCTGGACAGATCTATGTCTAGGTACCTCCACCTGCATGTGTACAACAGGGAACTGTTTGGCACATGTGATAACTGGATTTCTCTCTTCCATGAAAACTGAGGCCACCAGCAGCACAAGGCCATAGAGAAGCACCATGACTTCTGTGTAGCACCTACTGAGGAAGAAGTGCTCCTAGAAGAACCCCCAAAAAACATCTGGGGATGCCAACTGTCATTGAAATACTTGGAAAGAAACAGTTCATTTAACCACTGTGAACTCAAAAGTATTGGGTGTACTGGACAAATATACTTTGTTTTTGTTACAGAATGGTTCTGCTAAATTAGAAGCTAAATTTATGAGCATTAACTAGAGTGCACAGCAGGGTAAAACATGCACCAAATGTCTGAACCTTGAGGCATGCTTGAATTTTTCTATGACTTGCTGGTCATTCTAAACTGATTTTTTTTTTTTTAATTCCTTTTTTATTTTCAAGTCTTAGCTGACAGGCTGCTCACCAAGTCATAAGAAATGCTACAGGGCATCCTTTCTCCTCTCCACATGACATTTTTCTGAAGCCCTCTAAACATTGCAAACTCATTGATTTTATAAACTACATCAGTAGTTCTTTCAAGGTTGCTTAGGAGATTGGTAACAGAATAATAAAACCTCAGAAAAAAGATAGGCAAGCAGAGCAGTGCCTCCACAATGCAATTATATCAGCTGGAAACCAATCCACTGCTTATTATGTACCCTGGTATCTCATTTCAGGTGATACGCTCAAAAATGGAGCATGGAGCCAGGGAAAGTCAGAGCAAGATGAGGAAACCTGTTTAACATAATTGCCTATATCCTCCGTACAGTCCACGGAGAAAGGCAGGTCCCTCTCACAGCCTGGGAGGGTAAAGTGGCTCTCTTATGCTGTGTTTCCCCTCTCTCTGTTAAGGACAGTAGAAGACAACGCCAGCACTTTCCTTCCCATGCACAGCCCACCAGATTGTTCATAAAGTACACAAAGATTATCTTGAAAGGATTTTCAAACAATTATACCAGAGCTCTTCCTTCAGAAATGGCTTCTGAAGATGAAAAGGTAGCATTTTTACCATGTTTCCTGAATAGCACATTTTCCACTCTGAGGCAGAACTAAACTTAAGTATTTACAACAACAACTTAAAATAATACTAATTACTAAATCAGGTAGATTAAAAACATTTTATTTTTCATCCATTTTTGCCTTCAATGCACTGGACAATCACCACCTTTAAATGTGGAATTCCTTTTTAAAACAAATTATCTGCCACTTTACTTCCAATCATAATATTCTGGCCAAGCTGTCACACTCTCAAATGACATCACTTGTATCAACATTTATTCCCTATTTGTTACATTTTCCTAAAAGCATTTGTATGCAACCTGCCGTGCTGCCTGTTTATGCTTCAAAGGAACACCTTAAGGCCATCAAATCAGCTTAACCATTTTCCTGCTAATGCTTTTGCCAAAGAATGTCTAAAAAGATGCAGTAATAAGTGCACAGTTCCACCAGGACTGCTCTCTATCAAATCAGTCAGTACCATTTTACTGGTTTTCTGATCTGAACCTCTTCTACCTCTTGTTACACTACCAGGTTATAATAAAAATAAAATTTAAAAAATGGATCAAGGACCACCATGTGATACGGTAGTACCACAACAAACAACAAGGATGAGAAACTGGTACAAGGAGGGAGAGAGAAGGAAGTGAGAGATAATCTGATGTACATGTTGTTTTAACAACCAGTGTGATCCTTGGGTGTCCATATGAGGAACGACAAAGAAAAAAGTCACATTGATGTTTGTTGCCAAGATAACTAACTCCCATTGGTAGGTTCTTTTCTGGGTTTTGAAGTTCTAAAGTATGTTATTACATGGATGGGTCTGAAAAATATCACAAAAAATATTTAAAGGATTAAAGAAACATATCTTGCAGTAATATATAAATAATGCCTTAGGATCTACTGATCTTATCAACGACAGAGTTAGAGTAACAGAATCACACCCTGTATGAATGCCCATGTATGCCTATCCATATGTAAGTACAGAAAAAAAGTACATCAAACTCTTCAATCCAGGAGATAAAAGTATGAGATCTGATAGCTGATTAACGAAAATATATACATTCAGTTTAAATAAAACACAAAGGTTGGGGTTTTTTTCGTTGCAAGCAGTTCCGAAGGATTGTGTTGAACTCTTCAATGCCAAAATTGTTTCAAGTGTTCTCCTCTTTTATCCCTTACAAGACCTAGACAGAGTTAGAGTAACAGAATCACACCCTGTATGAATGCCCATGTATGCCTATCCATATGTAAGTACAGAAAAAAAGTACATCAAACTCTTCAATCCAGGAGATAAAAGTATGAGATCTGATAGCTGATTAACGAAAATATATACATTCAGTTTAAATAAAACACAAAGGTTGGGTTTTTTTTTCGTTGCAAGCAGTTGCAAAGGATTGTGTTGAACTCTTCAACCCCAAAAATGTTTCAATCAAGTGTTCTCCTCTTCTATCCCTTGCAAGACCTATGCTCCAAACTATCAGAACATGTGACATCAAAAAACAGTTTAGAGGAAGCCCACAGCCTGCTTCATTCAAGACCCTATACTGGTATCTGATGTGAGACTTTCTAGGTTTGTTCAAGCTATGAAAAACAATCTTTCCCATCTTGAAATTGTCTGTACAACTCATTGATTGGAATGACACACAGTTTTCCTTCTCTCAGATTTTTCATCTTTCTAAAGATGTAAAATGTTTTCTTAAACAACAGTGCTGCTTGCAACATATTTACTAGGCACTCAACACAAGCTCAATGAAAAAACTATAAAAAGTTGAAGTGTTCTGTATCAAGCTTCATAAAACTTGTATTTCATAATTTTAAGTATTCATTCTTCAGCATCTTCACATTTTTAAATAGTACATGTTTTTGAAAAGTTAAGCACAACTATTTCTACATCCACTAGATACCTCGTTCAGTTAGACGGGATGCTTGTTCTAACACACACTAACACAAAAGGATCATTGTAGCTTTAATGCCAGCATTCAAAAATGTCTTAACAGCTTTTAATTGAAAAGACCATAAAAACTAGCTAGTAACAGTAGACAGCCATAAAGAAAATGAGCAAAATCAGTAAAGGCTGATTCTCAGTGCAGCATTCACAGGGTTTACCAGTTCTTCGGCTTTCTTAAAATTTTAACAAGAACTTAAAAAAAAAAATAAAATCTCTACAGCAAGTTGTGTAAATACAAACAAGCTTTGACAGGCCAGACTGATACGAAGTATGGTATTAGATATGATTTAATCAGCACAGATGAGAACAAATTCTTGTCAATATTGCACCACCAGACAGTACCAGTAAGCCTCAGCTGGGGACCAGGGCCCGCATAACCAGGTATGTGAAAGCCATATTTCACTTTGACCATCCTCTGGGAGCCACGCCTGTGCAGCTCTTCAGAATCTGTATGTCACAGTGATATTGCAAAAGCAAAGCTTTTTTTATATTATTTTTAAAACTGGTTTTAAAGAGATAAGAGGTTTTGATTGTGGAATTTCTTCACTCCGATCCCTAAAATAAACTTAACTTAGATCCCCTACCCCTCCCTCAACCTGCCCCCCAGGCAAGTCACTATTTCTTTGTGCTTTCAGATCTCTTTACAAGACTTAATTTGGCCATACGCATCAGAGAAAAGAATATGAGTCAGGCTTTTCTCCTGTTCCTCTCCTGCTTAGGAAGTGGCAATAATTTCACAGCTATGGGGGTAAGAGAGATAAGTAATAAAACACTCTACTGTAAACAAGTCATTGAGATAATATTAGATTACTGTAAGGTTATTTAGCTTGTTTACTTCTTTTAAGACCAAGAACCTATCCAATTGTTCTTAAAAGGAATACTATTCTCCTGGTTTTGTTTCTAACGTAAATGATCTTCAGACTGTGATACAGAAATGACTAGGAACACTAATGACAAAAGCTGCTTAGATCATCGAGGCCAGTTGTCCTCGTCTGGGGTAAAACAGAACTGATTCTGTTCAGTGGTTTTACTTTTCAGCTCAGTCTCTCCTAAGTAACTGCACTTGTTGAAGTTGGCAGCATATTTTTGCAGGCAGTGTCTGCATCCAG